ATGATGATGTATCTTTCTTTTTTTCTTGTTTCTTCTTCGTACCTGCGGGTTCATCATTTTAAGATGTTCCGCCGACTCTCTGCACTTCTTTTTTACTAAAAAGTAGCACGACACAAATGACAACGACAGCATAGCTCACAAATTACCTTATGGTGACCTAACTAATGGAGCTGAAACTGTTACACTTCATAATATTTCTCCGTTGGAAAGAAAAATGTGGGACGAGGCTAGCTGCAAATCTTTTTATGAAAGAGTGTGGAAAGAGGCTAGCTGCCTATTTTCTTTCTATGCACTTCCTTTATGGTTATGTCCAGTTTATTTTTGAGTAGGTGGTATCTGCGGCTATATATACATTTGAATGTGGAGTACCTGCCTGCAGTGCGAAACAACATGATGACTTGAGTTCCAACCCAGGCCCAGTGCATCTGGCATGGATGTACATTGATAATAGGCCAGAATACGATAGAGATAGGGATAGGGATCAAGTGTTAACTCTCTCCCTTAACTACTCCTACATGGTGGCAACTGCCACTTCTTCCTGAGTCTTGATTGTCAAGATTGTAACCTTGATGTTAAGAGAGTGGCACCTATGAATTCATTCCTGGCATAATCCTAACTATTAAAAAAAGTCCCAAATGCATGGTTAATCAGCTGTGCTTCAACCATATTATATGCAGTTGTGTTTGGGCTCACAAGATAGACTTCTACAATCAAAGGCTGCAAGACATGGCCATCACACTTCAGTAGGTAAATCTTCCTCTTTTTTGTTCTTCGTGTACTTCTTATTGACGCCATTTTCTTTTGCCAGTTTCAGATGAGGTATGCATGGATCCTCAGGAGGCACCACCTCTTTTGAATAAACTCAATCAGAAGGAACTCGTTTTGTGGATAAGGGAGGATGATGAAGACTAGAGCTCAAGACTTTATCTGCATTGTAGATATTGTCAACTTGAGAGAACTCTAAAAGTAGTGTCAAACAGGATAATTACCATGACTCATACTTATACAGACACTAGATGGTCCATGTTATGCTATTGTAGAAAATTATCATCCAGGTTCACTTGAATCTCAGTGCTTAGCTAGGAAATATTAACCTCGAGTTATATTCTTGTTTTCCAAAGGCTCTTTCCGACCGTGACGATGATGTCGTTGCAGTTCAACAACAAAACCCAAGAATCCATACTCAGGAAACCATTTGGGAGATGGGAGACAATAGAGGTGGGTTACAAACTTCCAACAGCTTGCATCAGGAAGGCCTCGAACAGCTTCATCAACACTGGCAGCAGTCGTGCAAACCTTGGGAAGTAAATTAGTGTTAGAATTACGCAGCAAAAACTATGTCAGCAAAACACTAACCACTTTGGCACCTTCTTGTTCTGTTCTCTCCAAGAGTCTCTGACGAATTTTTTATATGTACTCACTCCCATCAAGTTGTACACCTATTAAGTATTGCAAAAAAAGTTTTAGACAAAAGAATCAAGTTTCTAAGAACTCAGTTCCGAAAACTTAAACATTTCTAAGAACTCAAGAACTTATCTCTCCGATCACGATTATTCCTCAATACTGTCTGGAAAAAACGCGGTTTTGTCCTGTTTGGAAAATTGCTTTTTTTTTTCTGAAAAGAGAAGCAGACTTGCAATTGATCAAACTCTGAAATTCAAAGGCTTGAGAGGCTATCCTCGGTGCATAGAAGGCCATTCAGTGTTGTATTCAATCCTTTGATCTGGTGTAACTTCTTTTTGACAATGTTCTTGCTTTCCTGTCAAGTAATTTTTCTTTAAATGTTCTCAATATTTTCAAAGGACTGGAATTAAGCAAGCGGTTGATTACCTAGAATACATCAACATGTTGGTGCTCCAAAAAAAAGCCTCACATCTGACTCTGATGAGGAATTTGACTGAAACCTCACATCCTACAAAACCTAAAACTTGTGAAATGCCATATATAACTGTTTTTTTTCACATGTGTCACTATCCCAACCATTCTTATTAGATGCGAATCTAGATTGGAATATAGGGCCCTTGCTCTTTTAAATATATACTAACAGGGAACCCAGCTCCACTGGGATAGCTAATCCTAAAGAGAACAATTTATTAAAAACTTGCTTAAGCTCTTCAATATGTAATAGGCATTTGGTTTGTTTATTTTGTGCTTCCTTTGTGATTGCAACTAAACACTATTTTTTAAACGGTTTACTGGAATAGAATACAAGCTTGGACTCAAAGCTTAAAAGGATTATTCAACACATGCTTAATCATATTCCTCAATTTGGTATATTATTTGGGCATTTTGGAGGTAAGAGCAGTTAATGGGATGGCATGTTAATGGGATTTTTGCTAATGAATGGCTGGTTTTGCATCTGCAAGCAATGTGTGTCGAACTATAAATGACTGTATTTACTGGTGGACTATGTGTTTGTTCATCATAACATGCTGAATTCTGAAACTATTGATGTATTTGTCATTTATTGTCCACTTGAGAATCATGTGCTATTGTTCGCGGGGAGTAGTAGAAAAATCTTTGTGCACTTCTAACTTTGTATTAAATTTCTTTTTTCCTCATAGATTTTGAAAATGTGAGAAGCTCAAAATCAAATCCCTTTGCAAATTCTGGAAGAGCTCTCTAACATTTTTCTTGCTATCATTTCTATTCCTATCTTGCTACAGATAACTGTCATCCATTCTCTCAAATCAGCCACTGCTTCCGTTTCCGGTTCACTAAGAATGGTGCTCACACCAATTACTGAAAGTGATTTACCACTGTAGTCTGGTACCTTTCCGCCCTTGACACATATTATTGGCTGAACTCCACTCTCTATCTGCTCCTGTATATATGAGCCCCTCTTCTTCTTCTTTTAAATCCCACAGACATAGATCAACACTATGGCCCAAATCATCACCTAGACACAATGTTCCTCTTCTTCACAAAAGATCCACTCTCACAAGATGTTACAGTAATTGTACGGATCCATATTACAATACCAACCACATCGACAAAAGAGTCCCTTTCCTTCTGACACACATCTAAGATGCTTGTTTTTGCCAGGATGATTCTTGGGAATGTTGCATCCTCATCCAGGGCTGTAAACTCCATACCTTTGTTAGCCTGAATCTCCCATGTTGCTTCATATGGAGTGTATGCCTGATTGGAATGTCGTATTCCACCACTACCAGAAAATGAATACACTTGTACAATCTTATCTGACAAAGCCAGGGCACAATTGTTGGAACCAATAATTCTGATCTCTGTTCCCTGGATATAGACAATGTCGAATGACATTATGCATCCAGATCTTTTCGTGTTGAAATGTATCAGCTTGTTCTTGTGTGTGACTCTTGCACGGAAGGACCACCTGTAAGAGTGGTCACTGATTTCTTTGATGTACACCTCTTTTATGGCAGCCTTTTTTGAGGTCTCTCCCTCTATCAAAGGGAACAATCTGAATAAACTGGTTTAGACGTGAAAATACCTTTTCCATGGACTCCTGAACTCGTTTATGTCCTTGGCAAGTTCAATTGTAGCAGTTTTTTAGAATAAAAACCAAGAAACGGACTTACCTCTTTCATATCTTGAAGGATAGGGTTTGTGTGTGTGTGCTTCCATACTCCACCATCCAGGAAGCATGCATCCGAAACAATCAATGACCTACAGAATATTTTGGTGTTTAAAATGCTTTATCAAAAGGAAAATACACTTACTGTTTCTCATTTGTCTCAGGGAAAGTGTAGTCCAGGAATTTTACAAACGAATTCAGATGGGCACAACATGAATCTAGTAAACTTGAAACTCAGTGTGATGCAATTGCCTCGAGTATTTCTCTGTCATCTGTGACAGAGAACTTCTTGGTCAGAGCACCAGGCTTTGAATCCATATTTGTCACACGCAACACTAGTTCCTCTTTCAATTTTTCTTTGACCTTTCTGATCTCATCATCCATGCACTTCATGATCTCTCACACTAGGGTTTCTCGGTGCTATCTGCTATATAATGTTCACATTTATTGAACTTTTGGCAACATTGTTATTGCTGCCTTGATGCAAATGCATTGGTTGAAATAATAAAATTTAATCTTGTATTAGTGGCAAAAAAAGATTGCAACTTTATCTTCTTCCTCCGGCTCCAGAGGAGTTAGTGGCAAAAGTACTTTATCTTCTCAAAAAACTTAAGTTGTTGTTCAAGTTTTTTTTATCTGATTCTCCACTGCTGGCCAAAAGCTCTTTCCACTATCTACCAGTCTTCATGTTTAAAAACAATTGTGGCCCTCATTGAAGTAAGGGCAACACAAGAGATTTGCTTTGGTTTCTATGATGAAACTTTTGACCTTCCAATAAGATGTCTGTTTCTAGTGCTTGTGAGGCCCCCTTTCACAGTAGATACATATGTGTTTCTATGGTGTATATTTGGTAAGTGCACATCTAATCTTTCAATTGAATGTGATCTCCCATGTAAATCATATCCAAATAACTTCCACATTCTTTTAGCAACTGATACATAATGGCACTAAATGCATTTATTTTATTCCATCAAGGGTGTTCTCTATCTCAATAGAAACCAGAACATTTTTTATTCCATGAGGCCAGGAGCACTGCAGCTTGGAATAGTTCTCGGTTCCCAATGTACCCACTGGGAATAAGGATAAGGAAACACCATCTGCAAGATTTGTCAGCAGGTAACGTCATCTGCACTGAACTTATGATTTTCTTACATTGCTCATATTCGCTGATTTCGATCATTCTTTCTTTCTTTTTTTCCTTGGTGTCTGATGCCTCACCTCTGTTTTTCAGCCTTTTAAATGCTACACAGCAAGAGTCCGGTCTTCTCTCACTCCTGTTGCTCTCTCCCTGATGACCACTTGAGGCATGTGTACTCTTTCTTTCCCTTGTCATCGATTTCCTTGTCATGCTCGCTCTTTCTCATTTGATGTTGTTGAGATTGCATGGAGTTATGCATCCAAGTCGACTGTGGGAATTACTCATCCCTTGCTGAGTGTGGCAAAGTTTCTTGAGTTAGAATTCTCCTTGTTTGGTATCTCCTATCCGGCTGTAAGTTCCATGGCGCAATGCTCCTGGCTGCCATGGAATCAAAGACATGCTGGTTGTGTTCTTTGCTCTCCACACACGAACATTGAGAGACTCGGCGCTGGTTTGGGCAAATCCGAATGGAACCAGCTCATCGCTACTGATCCAAAACCAGTTTTTCCATGTTCAGTAGCATCACCACCATCACAAAGATCACTCCACAAAGCCACCATCACTAAAATCCCAGCAGGGCGAAAGTAGAATCTGGCAGGAGAAGGACGAGGCTGGGAATCCCGAAATCCCATGCTTTTGTTGCGACAGGTTGAAGGTAGAGACTTTGTTCTTTGTGTTGTCTGAGAGTTCTAAGTGATTTTCTGGCTCTTCCTCATTTTTTTTAATCTTTTGTGTTTGGTAGTATGCTCATCAAAAGTATGTACAGCACTGGTGCAACTAAAAAGAGGACACCATCTGTGAAATTTGTCAGCAGGTACATCATCTGCACTGAACTTACAATTTGCTTATCTTCCTCATGTTTGCTGATTTCAATCATTCTTTAGTTTTAAATGCAGCCAAGGTAGAGCTCCATTTCTGAGAGTTATGACACAACATTTAAGAACTTAACTGCAAATATGGATTTCCGCACAAGGGTCACCAACCTGTCGTTGCTTCCATTGCTGCATGATGTTTGTGATTTTCTTGCTCAAGCTGGTCGTGAGAAAAAACAAAAGCCATAGAAGGCACATCTTAGAATCAAAGCTGGTGAAGCTTAGTAGTAAACCTGGTAAAGTTGTAGAATACACAGATTGGAGTCAAAGTTGTAAGTCTTAGTAGCAATCTATAAAAATAAACATGCTAAGAGAAAGCAAAAAAGAAATAGTTTGAATAATTACAACTACATCTTTTCAAATTGAAAATATTCTCTACTACTCCCAGCGGAGCTGGGGCCCCTACTAGTGTTATATATATTAGTGTCAGTAAGGATTTAGTGCTTTCCACTCTTGCTACTTGCTAGATTCTTGCCAGGGTACAATAGTTACATCTATGCCATGCAACAGCTCACAGCCTTGTTCCTGAGAAGGATTTCCTGGAACTAGGAAGGCTAGGGGCCAATTGTGAGTGTCTAGGCAGATTTACAGCGGTAGTTATGTATGTGCCCATTCTCCCTTATAGCACACCTTGTCTCTCTCCCCTTAAGCCAAGATCCCTTAGTGTTATTTTATTGTTATATATCCCCCAAAGTTCCAAGGATTTATAGTGATAGTATATCAAACACTCATTTCATGATCATATGAGCTACACTCCCATTTCTAAATCTTCTTTGGAGGAGCTCATCCCAAGTTAACCATGTGGTGGAATATTTGCTAGTGATGTGGGCCAATGGGGGTGCCTTGGTATCAGAGCTCTGAAAGTTTAATATCTTGGTAATTTGTCACTATGGAGAGTGGCACAAAAAGGCATAATCAAAGTTTTAGCAAGATGCTGACTAGAGATGCTATAAATTTGGATGGGAGTGACTCTAGAGCCTCCAAATTAAGGATCTTAGAGGAGGTGTATAATCATTGATGAAGAATAAGCCAAAGAGGAGGCTGCAAAAGGATTCCACCCACTGTTTGAAGAATATTCATTGAGAGGAGCTTCAGTAGCATTTCTAGCAGCAAGAACCAGTGCACACCAATAACAATGGATTTGACAGTAGTAGAGTCAACCACAGGCTTGACTACAGTGGCTTGACCCTTTCCAGACCTGAAAGCGCAGCAAGAAACAATGCAAGGCCGTCAAAGTCATACATGCAAATACCAAGATTGGGCACTTGCAGTGCACAAACATATGCTTTAAGGTGACTGTATGTCCTCCTACATGGTAAGAGGGCCTAAAAAAAGGCAAGGATGAGGGATTCCATCTATCTAAACCCTATTTCAAAGATGTAGTAAAGAGCATAATAACAGAAAGTTGAACTCCCTCTCCAAACCACACATCCTTAATACCACTATACTTTAGCGAGATGCACTTAATGCTCCACTTTTTTTCTGGATCCACTTTTGCCAACTATGACGTCCTAATAATGAGATTCATGTAATGGATTTTGTGAGATAAAATGTCTCCACAATGTGGTTTTGCCAACCAACACTTCCAAGCCCTCTACACAAGCATCAAAATGCTGTGTAGGGGTAGCTGCACTTTCAACTATATATGGAAGAACACCTCATATCACTATGTCATGCTCCTCATCAAACTTTTCTGAAACAAAGTTTTTATCACTTATTGTCTAGTACTGGACATTTGCACTGGACAGCCACAGAATACACCCTTCAGCATTGAAGTTGATGCATGAGTGTCCTCAACTGTCATCTTGTTTCACACACAATTGAGTCAATGATCAACAATCAAAAGCCTCTTCCTCCAACTGGAATGATCTTCTTCATTATCCTCCCACTACAAAATTTTCAACTTTTTAATTTCTGACATACCACATTAGAAGATTGACCATTCTTCTTGCTCTGCTGCTTATTCTTTAGCTGTAGGCAATCAGCCTTGTAGTGCCAAGCTCACCACAATGATGACAACATTGTCCACAAAGAACTTCTTTTTTTTTTACCCTTTCTTATTTGGAGTAGCCACTATAAACTTCAACTTGTAATGTTTGTTCTTGTCCTTGTATCCATGACAATCATCACTACAATTCTCAATTAAAAATCTCCTTGAACACTTGTGGGACTTGTGATTGTCATTGTCAAGTCAATGAGCCATATCAAATAGCTCCTCCAAACTCTTTGTAAGTTGGGAATGACGCAAGTGCTACCTCATGCTCTCACTGTGAATGCCATCAATGAAGTAGGACTTGTTCTGATCAGGATTAATTTTTATCTAAAGGACAACATATAACTTATAACCACACCTCGTGCAAGATTAACACTGTGAGATTAACACCACCCTAGATTATTTTCCTTAAGCTGGTCCAGTGAGTTGGAGCAATACTATGCAACCACTTGTAAAAGGAAGAGACATATCAAGAAGTACATAAAAAAGAAGTATAGGGCATCTGGTCTCTTCCCGCACTCTTTTCTCCATATAAAAGAGTGAGCAACTGTTTCTTGTTTAAATAATGTCTAAATGGGCTGGTTTCATACTTTGATGAAAATATATACTCTTCAACCTCTTGTAGAGACCACGATTAGCTTTGGGTTTTATATACTTATTTTGATTTGGAAAGATAGTTCTGTAGAGCTTCAATTCGAGCCTCAATCCCGTAGCAGTTATCTAAAGAGAGGGCACATGAGAACGGATGGAGACTCAATAAAAAAAGACCTGAATTTTGATGCCTCAATGTATTAACTGCTCTTGGCACTCTTTCATCCCCAGAGCTTGCACTTCTGAAAGATGATTTGTCACTGGCAGTTTCTAAACCTTCCATGATAGCATATCTGCAGTTCAGATTGAGTTAGCAGATGCTTAAATGGAATTTCTTTTGTACTTTGCAAGCTTTTCCTTTACGTCCTTCAGTATTTTTCCTGGAGACCCATGCCGCTCCCTTTTGGCTTTCTGCACATATCCGTTTACTTTAACAATATTTACTGCAGTATGCA